TATTTTCAATAAACGCTAACTAGAAAAATAGAAAAATTACACAAAACTTGTAGCAACTTATTACTAGTTACTCAGAATGCAACAGAGATGCCAAAGACATCATTAATTCAGAATAACAAAATTTAAATGAGCATTTCTAAAAAAACGTTTTGAAAAAATTGACAAAATCCGTGATTTTTTGACAATTCAGGTAGAATGATAGCAACTTTCGATATATCAAAGAATTATTGGTACAAAGTTTACCCTTAAAAATCAACAATATTCAAGTAAACATCTTATTTTATTTGTGTCCTATATATTGTCAATTTCTTATTTATAATATATAAGATATTGTACGTAAAGTTATCGTAGCTGAATCGAAATACCAAATATGATATGTATCATGGAATATCATATTTGGTTTTTCGACTCGGCTACGATACTAGTTTTACGTACAATATTTTATTGTAAATAAGAAATTGACAATAAATATATTGCCTAATGTGTGTCGAGATGTTTGCATATATTTATCAAAACCTTTGTGAACAACAATGAATTTCTTGTGATAATGCTGTGACTCATTATCATATTATCTTGTCAATCACGGTAACGTTAGAGTAAGCTTTATTTAGAATATAGCAAAGTGCTCTCGACCATTGAAATTTGTAGGATTTGATGTCTCTTAATTGTGAAGAATGAATGTAAACCATGTTCTTAGTATGGGATTATCCCATTATTTGGGTCTATTTACAGTTCAAAACAAAGAATTTCTATAAATGAGATACAACTGCCCGAAGCACATTTATCGAAAGGATTTATCACAGTGATTGAAACTGACTAAAAGTTGAATTGTGAAACAAACAAAAAATCAAAAAAAGTTTACTGGTGCAGTAGTATTTGTACCTTTAATGTTATAATGGAAATATTAATAACTTCAAATTATTAAAAACATAAACGATCATAAACAATATCAAAGCAATGCAAAAAAAAAAAAATTAAAACCCAATTGTTCAGAGAACAATTGAAGGTCTTTCCACATCAATTTTGAAAGCTATTGAAAAGAAGCTAGTTCCGGTTTACTCAAAGTTAAAATTGACATCCAATCATAAGTTTCTTCATACTGATGCGATAAATAAATGGTTGGAATTTGATGAGACTGTCGTACAAGTGAGATGTTTAGCGCTATAAAACCAGGTTCAATCCACCATTTTCTACATTTGAAAATGCCTGTACCAAGTCAGGAATATGACAGTTGTTGTCCATTCGTTTGATGTGTTTTGTCATTTGATTTTGCCATGTGATTAAGGACATTCCGATTGAATTTTCCTCGGAGTTCAGTTTTTTTGTGATTTTACTTTTTTCTGTATAAGTTTGGAGTGAAATAAGGGAGATAGTGTGTTACTTCCGGTGAAGTAAATGTCACTTCCGGTCTCATATGATAGGTTCTTTCACACTGATTAAAAAAATATATAGTTTCTATATACTTTTGCCTGTAAAACAGATAATTGGCCACTTCCGGTTTATTGAAAGTCACCTCTGGTCTTTAGTGATACGTTTATGTATTTGTATTACAAAATATATGGATTCCGAGTACTTTTTCATGAAAAAAGTACAAAAATGGCTACTTCCGGTTTTCTCTAGGTCACTTCCGGTTAACATTTTTCAAGGTCATATGTCACCCAACCTTTTGTTAAAGGTCATATGGCTTTATAATGAACCAAGTTGAAGTAATAATCAATTAACCTTATATTAAGACATTTCAGGGGCACTAACTCCTATTATATGCCATTAGATTGTTTCAAACTAAATGTGATATATCGTCATTACATTAAAAAAACATTTTGCACTTGTCCTTTTATATATATCTTTAAAAGTGTTGGGAGAAAATGCAAAAATAAGGAAAAGTCAAAATTGAGAACTTGATCTTGACCTTTGACCTTGACCTCATTTTCTAAGTTAGGACCTAAGGACTTCAAATAAAAAGATTCCAGGGTTATAGGGTTTACGGTTCATGAGTTAAAAAAAAAACATACCGACAAATTTAATTCATAAAGGTAGATAACTCCTAAACAAATTCATCGAATCGCTTCGATCCAAACTAGGCAAAAATTTCAGAGGATGTAACAAACAATTTAGAAAAAGAATTTTGTCGATATCTTTATTTGTTACGAAGGAGATGCAATCACATGATGAACAGTGAATAGGGAGATAACTCTTACAAAGAAAATTGTTCAGCTTAGCAGGGTGAAATTTAAAAAGCGCATACACTATACGATACAATATGAGAAATATCTAAGCGACATATTGCGAAACAAAAATTTATCGCAAAAACAAAATTTGGCGGAAGAAAAAAAATAATAATCAGAATTAAAAACCAATTGTTCAGAGAACAATTGAAGGTCTTTCCACCCATAAAGATCTATTTTGATATAGAACTATTAAAATTCGGTTTAAAATATCATATCCAGCGTCAAATGATAGCTTATTGTACACTGATTCCAAAAATATATGGTTTCTATACATTTTTTTTCAAAATAAGGGAGATAAATTGTTACTTCCGGTTTGAAAAATGTCACTTCCAGGTTTTTTTTATAGTTTACTTGATACTGATTCCAAAAATATATGGTTTAATATACTTTACATTAAATAAGTACAAAAAAATAGCTACTTCCGCTTTACACATGGTCACTTCCGGTTGGCTTTTCCATGGTCAAGTTGCTTGCAACGTAATGCAAAAAGTCCCATGGCTTTATCATGTATACATATGAGGTAAAAGCAAAGGTCAATATCTAGAACGTCAAATTTACCTATGACCTTGAGCTCAATTTCAAGGTCATAAACCAAGGGCTTCAAATCAAAAGACCATAGGTCTTAATTATATATGGTTATTGAGTTATATCACTATATGCCTCATTTTTAATATCAGAGGGGAGAAAACTCCAATTTTATGTTAGTGTACCCTTTCAACCAACATTCATGTGTTACGACATGTCGCAACTTACAATTTAGTAAAAATATGTTGTCGATATCTTATTCGGTTTTTGAAAAGAATTGAAAATAAGCCAAAATCAAAATTTAAAATATGACCTTGACCTCTGACCTTGACCTGATTTTCTTTTTTTTTACCAAGGACCTCAAATCAAAAGATCCTAGGTCTCTATCACTTATGGTTTACAAGATAGAAATGCATATCACTTATATCAAATGCATAAGGGGAAATAACTCTCATATGGAGTGTTCGTATGGCTTCGGTCAAAATTGGACAAATCATGCGAAGGATATAGCGAGCAATTTTATAAAATAAATTTGTCGCTTTCTTATTCGGTTACGGAGGAGATGCAGTCACAAGGAAAACAGTGTTCGGGGAGATAACTCCTACAAAGAAAAGTATTCGGTTACCCAGGGTGAATTTCAAAGGCGCATAAACTGTTCGATATCATATACCAAACATCTAAGCGACATCTTGCGAAACAAAATTTATACGCAAAGAATAAAAGTGGCGGAAGAAGAAAAAAAAAATAATAATCAGAACAAATACAATAGGTCTTTCCACTGAAAAGTGGAAAGACCTAATAAATACAATAGGTCTTTCCACAGAAAAGTGGAAAGACCTAATAAAAAAATAACCTAAATCTTTAGCTTTCTAAAACTCTGATTACTGAACCAGCGGTTGGGAAGAATAGTATTTTCCAATATTCCGATAAAATAAAAATAAAAATAACCAGGAATTTTATTTACGTTTTGAATATATTCAAAACTTTTAAACGCATTTTATTTGAACATTTCCCTGACATAATGAAATAGTATTTGATTTGAAAAGCCAGACCAAAATATTGGCGGTGAAATAAAATTAGTTGTAACTCAAATGTATTTATTGATTTAAACTGTAAATACAAAATAGATAATTCCTCACTAAAATAGTACATGATTTACATTCATACTCACAATCAAGAAACATATACAATTCCTACCATTTCTTTGTACTGTTGTGTCACCTAATGTATATAACGCATATTTTAATATTTCCTAAATTATAAGAAAGTCCTTACACCACTACAACTAATCCATAAATGAAATGCCGAAAAATGAAGTCATGCATCAATTATAAACATTTAAATTACACTGACAATGAAACTAATTCTTGAATACAACCAACCAAGAGATCATTTGAGCCTTGAGCACTTAACAATATTCTAAGTTTGTAAGAGAATGATAATCCCTTACTTCATGATAAGTACTCGCTAACGCTCGTACTTAATCATGAAGAAAGGGATTATCATTCTCTTACATATACTAAGTACGTTACTGCAAGCATTTACAGTGGCAACCACGAATTCACTGATGAACTCAAATCGTATACTAACTTTAGACAGTGACCACAGAGGAAATAATATTGATAGGTAATCAGGAAATATATATCCCTAAAGGGCATTCTATATCATTATCTTTCATTTTATAACACTGCAATAGTATTGTTGTATTGTACATTCATCTCTATTTTCTTGTTTGTTCGTATACTTGTCTCATTCTGGCATTGTTCTATGACTTTTGATAAACGAATTACTATTCAGCACAGTTGCTTCTGTATCGACAACCGTCACCGTATTATTAATGTACACTGTATCCGAAAAGGAGCTACAAAAGTAAATTAGACGCAGCTTGAATATTACTGAAAACAGGGACTTTTTTAAATCTTAAAGAAAGAAACTTATCAATTTCTACAAAGGAAAGGCGGAAGAACGTTTTATTTCAGTATTAACCAATGAAAATAAATAAACTTGATTCATTTGTTTGTACACTTATTTCTTTTATAAACAAGATCATTGTAAATACGTCTAAAGTCATAGAGTTTGTCATGCTTAAATCATTTTTCTTTGTCGACAATGTTTTCAGTTGTATCAAGTTTAGTAAGCCAGCCATATCACACTCAAATTACAAGAAACACATAATCGCACAAACTCTTTGTTCCCAATATGTCCAGAGACAAACGTCAAACACACAAATACGTAAGATAAGACACGTTATTTTCTGGACTTTTTATTACTTATATGAAAAAATGTTAATACTATACTGTTGAACTGAAATATCCATACATTTATTAACACTGCATTTTTACAACCTTTTCATCTAATGTAATATATTAAATAATTGTTAACAATAAATGCATTTTAGAGTGTCAAACTTGACGAGTCCAATGATTTCTAACAAAAACATAAATTTGAATAAAAAGTATCGAATATTTGACGGTTACCAGGTTACAAATTGTCACCGGACTCAGTTAAATGTATACATCAATAAACAGACATTGTAATTGTATGAATTCTTTGCTCAGAAGTACGAAAAAAATTGCAAATAGTTTCTTCCGTGATCTTGATATATTAGAGTGCAAATAAATTGATTTCAATCGTAAATTTGGGATAGATTAATAGAGATTTGAAGTAGACTTTTGTCACTTTTTCAGTTTTATTCATGGATTATACACATTTGATATTTGAAATCACAGTTGATCTTTTCGTCGATAAAAAACCTTCTTTGATTAGTTTTCTTTCTTTATGCTGAACCATGTAAAATTAACCCTTCTGTTTTATCTCATTTACGCCAGTGGAACACATTTGTGGAACTTGATTCAAGTATCGATAATTAGTGTCTGGATATATATTGTTACAGTCATAAGAAATCTCTGATGTGCACTTGTTGTACGCGTGTCAAATTTATCAGCCTGACATCAACACTAACTTTTACAACCACTAGATCGATCCTGATTTTGAAAGATGTTTTGTCCTGAGGATATCAAATTTCAAGAGGTTAATAAAATACTATTTATATTGTGTTTTTATGGAGTACATGTGTCACAGATGACATGCATATGTTTTAATTTTCGTAGGAACAATTTCATCCTATTTTCCACGGTTGTGAAATAACTGAACGAGCCTTGTCGTCCAAATCGTACTTTCCATGAGCAACACTACGAGTGCCTCAAGTGGAGCAGGATCTGCATGACACCTGCGATCAACCCTGGTTTTCGTTTGGGTTCGTGTTGATTGGTATTTAATTTCCTACGTAGTGTTTTTTAAACTGTTGTTTGTCTTTTCGTTTTTGCGATGTTTTTTTTCGGTCCCTGTTAACTTATCAAATTTCATAGTTCTTTTTATATCTACCGCCTCATTTTTACTGCTATTCAAAACTTATAACTTATTCAAAACATAAACATATTTCTACCATAGAAATAGATGATCTTAGTGAGATTAAGAATATGCACGAGTAGCATCAATCATAGAAATAATTTCTGTAAAGTACGACTTCACATATGGAGTAGATTAATATTTATGGAAAGCATTTGAAGTTGAATTATATATCGATTAATTGTTAGTTTATCCATAATTTTACTCAGTATTTAAATTGTATAGGGTGATATATTTACAGAAGAAGAAAAGCATTTTTGATTTTAGTAGTTCTTGCTTTTCTCATTAAAGAGAAAATCAAATCAGCATATCGCTAAATGTTTTTAAAAGTTAATTACTTATGAATCGTAGCCGTTTTGATGGTCTTTTACCAAATCTTTTTCTCCTTTTGCTATAACTTTGAATCCATTAAAACATATTTTACCAACCAGTAGCTCATGTAAAATTATTTAAAAGATGCAAAACACCAAAGATAGATGACATCTGAGATTCTATTTTAAGTAAGATTTTGTACCTAACTTTAGGTAACAGGGACGTAAATGGGCGATCTAACTGATTGCCAGGAATTTTGCAATCTACTAGAGCATGTGTAACTGTATATGAATATCGAAAAAAAAACCATATATAACTTGTATATTTTCGGAGATAAAGCAAATTGAACGTTCTGTAGAAAGAAGTGATAATGTATAGGGCTACGTAAATATCGAATAAATATTGGATTATTTAAATATTAGTTGTCTTTTCTCAAAAACCTGTATAACGAATGTTCTTTAAAATGGTTATGACTTTGAACTTAAATTTCTGTTTTATCAATATAAAAATATAGTAGGTTTCCTTATTCGTTTTTGCTGTATAAATCTTTCAAATATATCTGTAACATCTTTAAACGTCGAAAAATTAGATTTCGGTGCATAATGCATTAACGACGTCACACGTTCTTTTTTCCTATATGGCGCAAAAGCCGCATTCGGTGTCCCCGTATACATTTTATATCTGTTAAAAGAAAATTTCAGTAGCGATAACATATCACTATTTAAGGAGAAATTATAATTGAAAGTCAAAATTGCTGAACTTTATTACGATATTTACGTGCAAAATCCATAGATTAGTACTTCTTTTTTGCCGTATATGAAATTTGCCATATCTTAGATAATGTAAAAGTTCTGATACATTTTTTCGATGTGCACTTGCAGTTACTTATACCCGAGATGAATGTAAAATGTTATGAAATTTCAGAGATCATTCATTTACTTTCCTGTTACCTTTGTTACTCTGGTTGATAACTAAAGTTACAGTTGAATTTGTAAAACTCATATTTGTCTGGCCTGTAATTGTTTTCATATCAATAGATTCTTTTGCAGTAATTGCAAGTTGTACGTCGCTTTTGACCACTGCATCTACCGATTCCAGACCAAGACGTTGGGGTTGAATCGAACGGAGAGACACATCTCTTCCTAAACTAGCTCTGTTGTCGTGTGTTACTAATTGGTTGTCTTCTACATTTTCTGATATAGGAGTTAACCCTTCAACGGAATTACTGTTAGTATAAGTAGTAGTAACATTATTTAAACCATTTCTTTCGGTCGTATCAATCTCAGAATGTTGTTCTACATCAGCCCTCATGTCAATAAGATAAGGAATATTTTCGTAATCTGGTGTCTTTTCAATGTCCGTTGAGCTCAATCTGACTTTATTGGTGTCTTCATTATAAACCTTTTGCTCTGTATCTTCTACCTCGCTTAGTCTAGGGCTTTCAGATGACGCTGTTTTGAAAGACGCATTTGTCCCATCACTTTCTGTACTATTACTGTTACTGCTGTTACTGCTTGTATTAGAGTTTGTAGAAGCTTCACTGTCTCTATGAACTTCACGGACAATGTTCTCGTTTATTCTCACATAAATATTGCGGTCAGTTTGTTCATCACGTTTACTTTCAGTAAAGGTATTTGTCACTTTTTTATCAAAACTGAAATTTTCAGATAGCTCATTTGTTGATTGATCATCAATAGACAGTCCCTGTTGGATGCATGTTGCAGCAAATTCCGTTGATGGCCTACTTTCAGCAGCAGATGGTAACTGCTTCATGGATTCGTCAGTTACATCTATGTGAGCTGTGTTGCCATGTCCTCTATTTGCTTGATTCGTCGACTCTGATATATCTTTGTCCTTTCTATTTATTTCTTGTAACAATTTATTTGTACATTTTGTCTCACCTGCGAGTGTCTTTATTTCTAACGGGTTGTTGACATTTTGGGTACTGTTTCCAGTCTTTGATTGAGTATTTGTTGTGTCTTTTTTGTCTAATTCGATTATTGTATTTTTGCTTTCCTGCAAGATGCTTTTGCTCATTTGTGTTGCTTTTAAAACTGTCGAACAATTTTGTTGATTGCCCGGTACCCTTTTTTGTACAAGTTCAACGGAAACAACATCAATAAGTTCTCTAACTGGTTCTGTCAAAGCTATGTTTGGTAGACTATTCAGTTCATCACTATGCATGGTTTGAGTGGAAGTTGTATTATATTCAATGATTAAATCCTCTTCTGTATTGTTTGTATCATGTTTGCGCCCAAACAACTGGCTTACTACACGTGAAATTGTTTTACGGTTAAAAAATCTGTTACGCCGGATCGCACTTACGTTTGCGTATGCACTACTTCTTGCTCTTACTGGTTCTTCTTTTTCCCTTTTCTGGAATAAAAAAAAACTATTTGATTTATCACAATAAATAATACAAATACAAGTACAGTTCTCGCCTTGAAAAACTAAACCTTTTTTTAATGATGAAATTTTAAATGCTTTGCATAATTTTTTAGTAATATAAGTATGTGTGCTTCTTACATTTAAAATTTTTTTTTTTAAAGAATTTACAAACCCCCTTGTTCCTGCATGGGGTATAATAACACGTTTTGATTCCGTTGATTGATAGCGTTTGATTTAGTCAGTTTTTATGGACTTCCCCTATTTGAATTTTCCTTTGAGCTCGGTATTTTTGTTATACTTTTTGATCGGCATCCGCTCTATTTCTAATTATGTATTGAAAATTGCACTCGAATTTTCAAATTTCTTAATTTTGCATGTATTAAATGTATCTTAATATAAAATAAGTAGTAGTGGTATGATTGCCAGTGAGTCAACTATCTACCAGAGACCAAATGACGTACATGTTAGCAATTATAGCATATAAGTTGTAAAAGGCCCCGACATCACAAAATGAAAAACAATTCAAATAAGAAAACCAACGGTCTGCTTTATATACAGGCACATACAGAATGTGAAGGAATTGAGCACGTTTGGAGCGCCCCCACACCCTGGACTAGTACAACACAAGGACAAACTGTTCAAAACAATTAACGGTAAACGAATGTGATATATAGCAACAAAAGACAACAACTGAATAACAGGTGCTTGACTTTGGTCGGGGTTACACGTGTTTGAAGGCGCCCAGTCCCACCATTACCTGTGAAATTGGTTAAACAACACAACATAAGCACACACTATACAAATCAGTTGAAAAGGGCACGACTCGAGATCTATACAAAGCAAAACAAACAACTACATTTGTAACAGAAGCAATTAAAACACCAATAACAGATCTGAGAGTACTCACATTTACGGAAAACTAATTCCAAGCCATTTATTAAAACAATCATGTTTTAATGTTGAATTTCAATCATAGACAATTTGTTCACAAGAATATACGAAGGTGATTGGGCAAATCACGACATACGGAAAAGAAACTCGTGTTTCTGTAAAGGAGCTTTATAACAATCGGAACATTTGGAATTCTCGGTCATTAATCAATATACAAAGCATTTGGGAGAATGTGAACATAATGTGAAATAGGAAACTGGATAGCTCAAGTAATAAATCTGATCAATATATTATTTAATATTTTTGAATTCAAGATGTACGTAAGTATTTGTTTTGTAGCAATTGATTATTCGCCAAATGGTTTCCATTTCTATTGTATGAAAGACAGTCTGAATTCAATCCGACCAGTTTTCTTCTCATTTTGAAGGCCGTACGGTGACCTATAGATAACTTCTACGTCATTTTGTCTCTTGTGGATAGGTTTTTCATTGGTAACCATAACATATCTTCTTTTTATATTTGCTCTTACTCACTTCTGCAGAATTTAACTAGACATGTAGCAAGTACCAATGTTAAAGTCTTTGGTTTGACTCTGTGGAGCATCGAACTCTAATCTCCCGCACTCTAGGAGAACACGATACATCGTAAGATCATGTGACAACATTTTCATAATATTAATTCTCAATCGGCCTCTATGCTTATTCTGAAGTGTTTGTTAAAGGAGGAAGCAAACCTAGTTGTTTCTGTTGCATCTTTCTTTTTAAGTTGAACGGGATATATTCCATCAATACAAATATTATCTTTTCAATTATTCGATGAAAAAAAAAAAAAAAAACAGCCTGAGTTCGTGATCATGTGTGTTTAAGACGTTGATTTACATATACAATGATATTGTGTTGGAGGTTTTCTTCTTGGCAAGAACATACTTGACTTGAAGGTTACACCTGTTGTTACCTTTCTTAAAACAACAGTTGGATCCGGTGTATATCTTGTAATTTTCTCATGTTGTCTCTGTAAAGCCACTGCAAAGTCTTTTTCAGATTTATGTTCAGTATCCATTGTTATTTTGTCGTTTATTTCGTGTGTGCACGTTGGTTTTACATTTTCCTGTATATTATCGATATCATTCTGGAAATAAAATTAATAATGTTGATTGTATTTATTTATTTATCCATCTTGTATTCTTCTACTATATTTTATCCAGTATTTTAATCCTGTATTTCTATTCATTCTTTGATACGCTCTTTTGTTTTATTACAATTTTTTTTTATTTTGAAAAATACCATAACAACAGTGAACAAATTACATACACTGTTTATCAAAAGAGACTTTAAGCGATTGTTTATATAAATATTAGGGCGAAACCTATAAAATAGGTCATTTTACTTTTGAAAACAATCACTGCATCATTTCAGTGTAATTGGACCACATTTTTTAAAGAAATGCCGACAAATTAATATCATCTTAGGTTAGGTGGAGTAAAATTACAGAATAGATAGTGTTTAAGGACAAACTTCTCCGGGTTAAAGTTATGAGCGTCTGACTTTTCATTATCATAAAATATTTGTTTTTAAAATTGCCAAATAAACACAAAAACTTAAAATGACAAAAAATGATCATATTTGACAAAACCAAACGATCAAATTTTACAAACCAAATTCAACACGGAGCCTTGGCTCACGCCGAAAAGCAAGCTATAAAGGGCCATTTACCCATTCTACTCACCTCAATACAATTCTCCATGTGTTTTGGTTCACTTCTTTTGTCTTTTTTCTGTTTTCGATAAAGACATGAAATAGAAATGCATGTGGTTGCTATGAAAAGTAAAGCTGTTATAATATTAGTAATTATCAGCACAGTTTTTATATCTATATCCTTTTCAGAAATTGCACAGGAGCAAGATGTTTCAATAGAAGTGTCGAGACATAAAATTGAGCACGACACACATATTTTTGTTTCATTAAGAGCTATTCCATAATGCGTTTTTGGACAGTTTCGATTGCACACAAATGGTGAAAAAGGCATTGAGTGTTCTATAGTGTTACGAGGTATTCCATATCATCTTTTTTCAAACCGGTAATAGTCGATCGGACATTCATAACGACATTTCTCTTTGTTGGTTTCTTGTGCACATTTTGGACAGCAAAATTCTTCAAAAGTTTCAAGACTTCCTTTGTTATTACAATATGGATTCCCATCTTTGTCCTACAATAATAAACCTTATATGTTCAACGAAATTTATATATATTACACCTGGAGTTCAAGATTCACTCATTACATTAATATTGAACATCTAAATTTCTTAATCTTATTATGAAAATCCTACCACGCTGCTTCATTGTTTTAGGGTTTTTATTGATCCCTTATCTTGGAAGTATGCTTGGCTGATCTGTTTTTTTATGATTATATTTTTGGATATTCTTAACTTGAGTTTACCTTTAGAACGTTGTTTAAGCACTAACATTAACAGTATCAATTCTAATATTCAAAGAAATGCTGTGTGCACGGAAAATCTATCATATAGAGCTAACATGTTTTACAACTGAATATTTTGTCAAAGAGAGGAGAGCGATACCAAAGGGACAACCAAACTCATAAGTCAAGAATAAACTGTCAACGACATGGAAAAAAAAGACAAAAATAGTACACAAAACACAACATAGAATGACTAAAGTCTAAGCGATACAAAAAAAACCCCAAAAAAACCAAACAAACCGGGGGTGATTTCAGGTGCTCAGGAAGAGTAAGCAGATCCTGCGCCACATGTAGCACCATTCGTGTAAACTGATTTCTTTCATTAATACATGTTTTCTTTTTAGACATACCTCGGTTACATAAGGATGCAATTTTGCAGACCATATGATATTAAAACATCAAAATACACCACTTTTCTGCTTTATTGGTATCTTTAAAGTATTATGCTTCAAATTACAATAAGTTGAATATGTTTTATAAACTTGAATGGCTAAGTTTGTTTTTTTTATTTTTTGTTTTTTTTTTGGTGTGTATCATACTTTATCAATAGTTTTGACATTTGATAGTAGGATACAAAAAATACCGGTACCTTCTTCCGGCCTCGTTAAACATTAATAGTATATAGTTATTTAATTTGGTTTACTAAGTACTTATAACTTATCTTAATAAGAAATGTATACATTTTCTGAATTATAATATATCCATATAATATATAGCTTAGCGGCAATAAGTGAAATGAGACATTACGCTTATATCCTAGGCAACAAGCTAATGCCTTGGCAGTAAGTCTATTGCCTAAATGATGTTAGGCATTACTTTTAGATCCTGAAAAATATGACTGGCATAAATCTTAATTCTTAAAAATTAAAGGAGAGTAAATAAAAATATTTATTCAAAGTTAAAATTCATTTGGTAGATAACAACATTATCAGAACTGAAGTTTTACAATAAAACAAGTGCACGTGGACTTTTTTGTAAAAAAATCATTTATCTAATAAAAATCTTCGGAAATATGCTGCTATGGAACTATTGTCTTCCCGTACTCTTAATCGCCGATATTTTTCCGTATGCAGAGATCTTAACTACGAGACCCCTCGTTAGAAATATGGCCAACGCACAGCGCAAGTGCGGGGGAAAAGCCATGATGAAAGAATGTAAACAAACGTGCACTGGAAGGTAGAGAGTAATAATTGATTCTTAAGGAACAAACTAAATTCACCAAATCATTTAACAACTGTAATGGAAAAGTTTGATTAACAATGGGAACGCATGGAAAATAAAAAAAACTATACATGGCTCTATCAACTCACTTATTTTTCACGTAGTCCATGATTCTGAGTTGATTGTTCATCAATGTCACGAACCGGTAAACTTAGGCAACAAACTCGAAAGTGAATTAGCTTGCGATCAACATCAGTGAATGCAATATCATTTGGCAATAACACGTTGCAGATTCGTAATAAATGTAAACATCGTGCATAGAAGATTTAAGTCTGGTGCAGGGGTGTCCTGAGGTGCGATTCGGACACAAAGTGTTTTTTCAGTGTTGTTTCTATTTTGTTTACCCTTGTATTTCTTTTTACTTAATTTTCTTTATCGAGAAAATGTATCATACATACGATATTTACTATCAACGTCAAAAACTTTTATTTTGTTGGTGACGTCATTGTCTAATTCACGTCACTGATGGTTTTTTTGTAGACGAAACGCGCGTCTGGCGTACTAAATTTTGGTATTAGCATCTATGATGAGTTATTACTTTTACTACATCATTTTTGTTGGCGTTTTTGTTGGTTTAAAATTGTATGTTTGTTTGAATTTTGTAGTCAGTTGTGTTGTATGTCTGTTATGTATGTTTACACAATTTTGACTGCTGGGTCCCAATTATTTTAACATTAACCGTTTATGTTTGTTTGGGTTCCTTACCCAATTTTGTTGGTTTAATGGAACTTTAAACAACTGTCATACAAGTGGACGGTTTAGGTAGCTATAAAACCAGGTTTAACCCACCCATTCTATTCGGAAAATGCTATACCGAGTCAGGAATTTGCGCGTTGTTTTACACTTGTTTTGTTGATTGATAGCATTTGATTTTGTCAGTTTTATGGACTTCCACGTTTACTCGCGTAGTGGTATTAACCATATGTGGATTCTAAAAATCTCTAAAAGAGCTTATGGATAATTTTAAATCTCGATCTTTCTTTGAAATTAATTCTATCAAAACTTTTGATTTTTCAACCCTGTATACCACCATTTCCCATGTGAAATTTAAAAATCGTCTAAAAGAAATAATGCACAATGCTTTTCAATATAAAAATGGTAGCATACGCTATAAATGTATTGCTTTGGGATACCATACGGCATATTTTGTTAATAATAAACAAAAAGGCATAACAAGCTACACAGAGGAACAAGTGATCAGTATGCTCGAGTTTCTTACTGACAACATATTTGTTGACTTTGGAGGTAGCCTTTTTCAACAAATTGTCGGCATTCCTAATGGAACGACCCGTGTGCCTCTCCTTGCCGACCTCTTCTTATTTTTCGGAGTTCCTTCAGACACTTGTCAAAAACAATAAGATCGAAGAAGCTAGATTATTTAATTTCACATTCAGATATATTGATGATGTTCTTTTCATTAACAATTCAAACTTCTCTGATTGGGTTCCATTAATATATCCTCCATAACTGGATATTAAAGAAACAACAGACAGGGCTTCCTCCGCCTCGTTTTTAGACTAATATCTCAAATTTGACACACACGGTCATCTTAGTACCAGAATCTATGACAAACGAGACGATTTTGATTTTGAAATGTCCCACACCTTAGCAGCAATATACAAACTTCACCTGCATATGGGATCTACATTTCCCAACGCATCCGGTATTCACAAGCTTGCAGCTGCTACTCAGACTTTACAAAACGTCACCAGTGTCAGAGCAGAAAGTTATTTCAAAGAACGTCTCGTCCTTTTTCTTAAAAAGTTCATCGGGAAATACCAAGACCTTGTTGATAAATATTCCGTATCAACTTCACAAAAAATACATGATGGTCTTGAAATATAGATTCTAGGTACTGATGTTGTTTAATATCTTAATTACGTGTTATAGTGTTCTTTTTTTTGTCTTTGTATATTTGTAACCTAATGTTAGTCTATTTTTGGTAATATCCATTTGGCGTGGCTCAGTATTTATACGTCCTGCCATTGTGTTATTGTGCTATGGTCATTTTTTGTATTCTTGTCTTTCATTTTTGCTTATGTACTTTGTCTATAGAATGTCCATATGCCATTTTTTTTTCTTTGTTTGAATAGTGATTAAGATGTATAACACAATGTTGACTGCTGTACTCCAATTATTGACAATTTTACCTAATATATCTGTTTGTTTTGCTCACACAGTGTGTCAATATAATGGAATTCTATGCGACTGTCATGCAAGTGAGAGGTTTAGCTAGCTATAAAACCAGGTTTAATCTACCATTTTCGACATAAGGCCTGAACCAAGTAAGGAATATGACAGTTGTTTCCATTCGTTTGATGTGTTGTTTGAGCTTTTGATTTTGCCATTTGATAAAGGACTTTCAGTGTTGAATTTTCCTTGGAGTTCTGTATTTTTTTCTATTTTATTTTTTAAATTGGCCTTGGAGTGCAGTATTTTTGTTATACTTTTTTTAGTATATATAAAAAAATAAGAAGATGTGGCCATGGGATGCATGCCTTAGTTCAACAATTTCCTGAACATAAAAATTAAAAAAAAACTCGTTTCATTTGAATGTAATTAGTATAAGATCGTATAAATAAAGGCAACAGTAGTATACCGCTGTCCAAAAGTCATAGATCGATTGAGAGAAAAAAATCCGGGTTGCAAACTAAAATTGTTGGCAATTGAAATTTGTTGTGAAATAATTTTCCCATTCTATGACTCGAAAATGCTTTCCTCCAGTTTATTATTTTTTACAATGTACTTTTTTTTTCTTTGTGTATATATCTTTAATACCTGTATGACTTTGGATGATGATGTGTGTGATCTACTATTTTTGTGTAACTTGAATGGCAACCTGTCTTTTAAATTGTTTTTATTTGTTGTACTTTTACCTAACGGGTAATTGTATTGAACAATACAGGGTAGCCATAGGGTTATTCAATTCATGTAAATTTCATTTTTCCGGATCAGATAATTTTTGTTACAAAGGAGAACCTTTTTCGGAAATTCTATTTACCAATTGTCGTTGTTCATTTCTCGTCGTCTCCTTGTCGCTTCTTCAGAGCCTTGATCCAAATATAAATGTTTTATTCCTTCTATTTGTGTTACACTTCATCCTTATAATTGGAAGCGTTGAACAAAATCCCGGTCCAAATGAACATGAAAACGTTTTTTCTCGTGAAACTGATAACTCCATATCAATATGCAATATTAACATTCGTAGTTTACGAAATAAGATTGAGTTCATTCAAAATTTTGCAGAAGAGTTTGATATTGTAACAGTCACTGAAACACACTTAGATCCAAATATAAATAACGAAGAATTAATTATAGATTCATTTTCACAAAATATATTCCGTAAAGATCGTAATAATGCCGGAGGAGGCTTACTCATTTATACAAAAGATGATTTATCAGTCACCAGAAAAGGTGTACTCGAAAACCACATTGACGAAACTATCTGGGTGGAGATCAGAGGTAAAGGTCAAACTTTTTTATTATGTTGTACTTATCGACCGGAATGG